ATACTTTTAAAACTAGAGTTAAGAGTTCTAAAATTATATATTTTTTCTATTAAATTTTAAAATAAGGTTTACTTATTACACCGATAAATGGATTTCTAAAGTCAAAACTCACCAAGTTTGGAACTAAATGGTAATTTTGATAATTATTTTTTTTAGTAAAAAAAGCTTATTTATGAAATGTTACAATATAATTTCGTCTTTTTTTCGTGAATATCTTTACAGAAAGTAAGAAAACAATCAAAACATCAAAATAAATAAACAAAGGTACCGAGTAGTTGTACTTTGAAGGAGCTTTTTCCACACTGACGCCTGTGTCTCATGCGTCAATCAACACCCTCCATTTTTGGCCTCTTCTCGTTTTTTCTTCCAAGAATTACCCCCATCTTCAATCTCACACAATCGGTTTACATTTGGGACACTAGGGTGTATGGTTACTTTTGGAATTTAATACTTTAATCTATAAATTTAAGAAAAAAAATCATTGTTTATAGAGAAAAAGATATAGAGAAAAGAGATAAATAGACAAATCCCCAAAACTATTTCACAAATTTTATCCTATATGATTTTTACAGGTAACTAACTGTAAAAATCATAAATTTTATCCAACTTTGAATATTCATAATTTTTTCTTATGAATTTAATTTGAGCTGATTTTTTTTCATTGTTGTCTTTTTAATAAAAGATACCCAATTAGTTTTTACAAAGAAGTCGTTTGTATAAGATCTTACTCCACGATAATCCAATTCCAAATCAATGAAGACAGGATCCGAATCAGAGTACTCGTATGTCGTAAAGGTTCACTCTGTTTGACTTGACCCGGTTCATGGACCACATAACTACTGATCCCCACTTTGACAAATGGCAAGAAAACGACTTGGGTCCGGGTCCACTTTGAACCTTTTTGATGAAACAGGTAATATAACTTTCTAATATTAAAATGAAGGAAAACACAACTAATATTTACAAATTATAAAATATAAAAAAATTGTTCGTCTAGGTCTAACTTAAAATATCATAACTTTATTAATCAAAAATATCTTATGATTTTAAGCATAAATAACCGATTTGTGATGATTAAATTCTGCCGTAGGATAAGATTGTAGAATTTTGTTTTATTCTCTGCCGTCGGATCAGAAAAAAATCACAGATTGGAAGAAACACCAGAAAAATAGTGATAGGAAAAAACAGGGCATGGGTGTAGAATCCAGCTACGGATGCGGAGCAGCATAGGCCAGTCACCAGTGCATCAAAATCTGATCAAGTAAATCTCTGGAACCTCTATATCGTAGATTAGATTAGATTTGTAGACCAGAAGCTAGAACACGTCTGTATAGAATCTCATTGTCATTCCTCCTTTTTCGTAACAATTATTACATTTATTTATTCATTGTAAAATATATATATTTGATTATAAAAGTAAATATTTGATCATATATATAATAAATGGTAACATTCTTATATTTTGCTATATTTTTTTTACTGGCACATTATTTTTGTGTCTCTTATATCGCTAGCATTTTATATTTAGCATTTCATATGGAGTGACAACAGTCCTATTATTTTTTTTTTTGAATTTAAATAAATTATATGATTTTTTCAAATTTAAATAAATTATACTTTTTTAATTTACGATTTTTTTTTTCAAATTTAAAATAAATTATATTTTTTAAAGACAAACACTTAATATTAATAAGATTACAACAATTTAAAACATAAAATACGATTAAAAAAAATAAAACTAAACTTACTTAAAACCTACAACACGATTTACTATTAGACGTAAAACATAAATTAAAACTACATTAAAAACATAAAAATATTACAACTTATCACAATTCTACTGTTTAACAATATTATTCCTTGCATTGTTGAAAATCCAACGATCCTCTTCGGACAAGTCATTTCTCAGGTTTAAGAAAAACTTTAGGGCACAGTTTCTTTCTTTTTCTTTTCCCAATTCCAAGAAACCCTCAAGCTTAGCGTCTAACCCTTTGATGTCACTCATTATCTCCTCCACTTCACTCGATGAACTTTGTGTTCCTTTCAGCTTTCTTTTTGCTCTGTCTTGTTCCATAGGACGAGTTGGAGATTCATATGGAACGTCGTTGTTGAGGTCAATCCCCCCGATACGCGCATCAGAAGATTGAATGTGGGTTAACTTGGAAGTTTTGCTTCCTTTGGACTTGCTCGTGTAATCATCAACACTTTTTAAATTAAGCCATTTTGGTTTGTCCTTCACAATTCCTCAAATCGCCTCATTGCCAAAAGGTTTTCCGACTTTCGCCTTATAAATCTTACAAACTTTTGATAGGAAATCCACTTCATTTGCACCACTTTGGGGGTTACGGGTCGCGCTCATGTAGATGACATTCAACTCTATTGAGGATTTGTTGGCGGTCCTCCATTTCGAGTAAAGTTGATTAGGATTGCGATACTGCTATTTCATTTGATGTCAAAAACTATGTCAAACTCTAGCTTTCCAGTTGTCGAATCTTGATTGTCGCTCGTCGCCGGATCCTCCGACACATCTAGTCATGCTTGCACTAGTGCCCTCTCTTCATCATTTGTCCACCCTTTGCATATAGCCTTCCCTTTTCCTTTATTTTTTCCTTGTGGCTCGACTTCGGGCTCTTGAAATGACTCTTGAACAGGCTCTTCAATGGGTCCTTCATCGGAAGAATCGGTTGACTCGGCGAGTAGGCGACGTGGTTGGGATTGAAAATTAGTTTGGGGTTGAGGTTGTGAAAAGAATTGAGTTTCTTGAACCATCTCAAAACAGATCAAGATCTAAATTTGGACGGGGTATTGGTTGAGTTTGGAAATTAGTTTGGGGTTGGTTTCGGCAAAATGACATGGGTTGAGAAGAGTACGGATTGAATGAAAATATTTGTGGAGCCATAGAAGGATAGTAGTAACTAGCGGGTGAATGAACTGGTTCATCAAATGAATGTCGATAACAAGGTGGTGATGGAAGGTTTGGAACTAGAAGGTTTAGTGATGGAAGATTTGGTTTTTTTTTTGGTTTGTTTTTGGTAGATGAAGACATTTTTTTTTTGTGAATCGAGAGTATTTGTGAGAGGTTTTGATATTTTATGTGTGTGAAATGTTGAAAGTGTAGTTTAATTTATAGTGGTTGAATTATAATTCGAAAATTTGAATTTTTAGTAGGTAAAAACGTTTTTTTTTAAATTTAAATGAAGAAGGCTTCGTGGAAAATAAATGAATTAGGTTTGAATGTTTAATTTGGTCGATACAATCCGGTCATACTCCTCTCCACCAATCAGCTTCCACCAAATCTTTCTCTCTCATCTCGCCAAGCCCCTAGTGAGACGCTCGTAGCGAGCGCTAGGAGGTGGTATTATGATTCCCTTAGCGACTCCATTTAGCGAGCCACACCAAGCAGCCTTAGGGAGTGGTACATATGTTTTTTTTTAAGTCAGAGAGAATGATGGAGAGAATGGTAGCATCTAGGTAAAGAGTGGTAGCATCTAAATGTTGTGATATTTTTATTTTGAAAAAAAAAACGAAAGTGAAGCCAACCAATCACAACCATTTTTTCCTTTTTTTTCTTTCCTCTCGTTGCCCGGCCAGCAAGTCATCCTTAACGTGGCAGCTAGCGAGTTTAATGGGAATGGTGGAGACGAGCTTGGCCAACAAGCCACTCCCTCCCGCCTAAGTCAATATTTAATATAAACAATGAGATGTCTGTGTCACATCAGTTTTATTAATATATTTTCGATATAATTTTTCTAATGTTTGCTCGAAGACAATTCTTTAAATTTGTTATTAAAGAATGACCATTTTTATAATTTTGTGAAATATAAGGACAATATTCTATAATTTTGCTTAGGAAGAGTTATTTGGTAACTTTGTGAAAAGTGTGGAACTAAACATTTGTTAATTGTCCCATTCGGCAGAGATCATTTCTATAATTCTTTAAAACATAAGGACTATTTTTGTAGATACAATTCTATATGGGGACTTTTTCTGTAAATTTAAGGGGCCATTTTTGTATTTTGTTTTCTATATAGAAACCATTTATAAAACTGTTCAAAAAAGGACCATTTTGTAAGTTATAGGGACCATTTCTCTAAAGCATATTCTTGACAGGGACTCTTTGGAGAAATATCCCAAATGTAAGGATATGAAGAATTCTTTCACAGTAATATTGGCATGATTGTTATGAATATTAATGATCTAACACAATATTGGTTTCAGGCTTACGTCTCTTTCTCATTATGAAAATTTTACGTATATTGATAATTAAAATTGACCTTACTTGAGGTTTTTAATATTTCTATGTATGTAATGTTAAAAGTGACAACTACTTCTTAATGCTTATTGGTTTATCATAGTTTTAAAAGATACATATATTTAAATAAAATGTTATTTACATTTTCTGAAGTGACATCTATTTTTTCTTTATTGTTGTATAATGCATTTCTGAGTAGGCCTTAAAACTTGTATTTGGCCTATTTTAGTTGTCATCGACATTGGATTTGTAGTTTTTGCAATAAAGTGTGTACTTGAGGTTAAGGTTTATATTTCAAATTATTATTTTGACTTGCTCAAAGTTTAGACTGTGAGAAATTGTGCTTTGGTTTTATAGCCTTTTCATGTACGTTACATTGTTATATCGTTTTTTGGAGATATATTTAGGTAGTAGAAAAAGCATGATTTATGTACAATCGATTTCATTGTATAACTTTGAAATGGTCAAGCGTATCAAATGACAATTGTTCTAATGGTATCGCAAATTGTTGTAACATGTTTCTTACTCAAGTTTTGTTTTATCGATTAGAAATACATTAAAAAGTATGTAAGTTATGTAATTAATAAAAAAAATGTTTCTACAAAAAACATAAAATATCGATCCATATTTTATATATTTTGCTTGATTTTGTCTTTTAAAAGAAGAAAGGAAGACATGAGTCCGATAGCTTCCAAATTTCTAGTCACCTTCGTTTATTAATTTTTAATTCCTCCCCACACCCTTTACCTATACATTTTACCCCCTCCCATTTGAGCGATCATCTCTCTTTCTCTTTCTCTCTCTCTCTGAAATGCATAAACCAACCAACTCATCCCCGGAACACCCGTCACTCCGCCACCGGTAACCAAACACAAAATGGGTAAGGCATCCAAATTCTTCAAATCACTTTTCAGTTTCAAAGCCTCCGACACCACCCACCACCAACCACCCTCTCGTCCAGACCTCAATAAACAACCCAAACGACGCTGGAGCTTCATTAAATCAAACAAAGACCAACTCCACCACCATTTCTCCGACACCGACACTTTCAACCCACCACTCTCCCGCCCACGCGACACCCCACTTCACCATCAATCTTACTACCAAACAGCCGGAGACGGCGAAAAAACACGTACAACCAGTCATGCCATAGCCGTTGATGCCGACACAGCCGCAGTAGCTGACGCCGCCGTATTTTCAGCCCATCCCGCGGCGGAGGTGGTACGGATGACAACCAGAGCCACCGCCCGTCACGGCCTTCGCGGGGAATGGGCCGCCCTTAAAATCCAGACTTACTTCCGAGGTTACCTGGTAAGCATTCCCTAAACCATAACTGAGGGTATTTCGGTCTTTTCATCATGCACGAATGTACTTAAATTGTTTAGTTAAAGGTCAACACACGAGGTATGAATGTATTTTAGTCAAACCCAAATCCAGACGAGTTCATACGTTACCTAATGCACCATATGTAATGCGTAACGTACAAGTTATTAACTGCACCGGCCACGTTTAGAACCATAAAAACCCTTTCTTAAAAAGTTTAGTTGTAAATGTACTACACATCATGCCACTTTTACCGTTTTACCCTTGTAGTTTTCCCACCTGTGTAGAGAAATCGTAAAGGATATTTGAGGAAAATAAATTGGCAATAAACTAAGAAACAAAATAATTTTGTACGTTTATATCCAGACAAAAGGTGGGCAATCGAATATGCTTTAATAACTTGTACCTTGTGTTAAACCAATTGGAACATTTACTCTTCACGCATTAATAACTTGTACGATTGAAAGGTAACCGAAGTCAGAAGGAAAGGAGAACTGGTCGGTGGGGTAATTGGGTAAACAAGAAATTAGTTTCTAAGATAATGTTGTTCCATTTTTACCCTCCACCTATACATATTATTCTTGTATATCTATTATTTCATGGATTCATATACTTGAAGGCGAGGAAAGCTTTAAGAGCATTGAAAGCGTTAGTGAAGCTTCAGGCACTTGTGAGAGGTCATATCTTAAGGAAGCAAGCGGCGGTTGATTTCCGGCGGTTGCAAGCTCTGCTACGAGTTCAGGCACGGGCTCGTGCAGGGCGGTTTCCCATCACCGATTCACCTCACTCCTCCGCCAAGGTTTTCATCTCGTTCATTCATAGTACAACTTTCAATGCACGATGTATAAGTATAACACTGTGATCTATATATCTTCCAGGGTCCTCCGACTCCTGAAAAATTTGAGCATGTCGTTCGAACAAGAACAAAACACGATCAACCATCGATACTAAAGGTGTGTTATTGTCAATTTGTCAAACATTTAATTCGTTTTCTTCATTTCTTAAGTAATATATATATATATATATATATATATATATATATATATATATATATATATTCTGTATTTGTAGAATAATGTTTACAAATCTTACTCCGAAGAAAGAATCCTTGAAATGGACACCGTGAAACACCACCTTCTGCCACCTAGACGCCGGAGCCTCTTCCACAGTCAAAGTCAAAGTCTGACAAATTCTCAAGGGTCAACAATCCACCCATCCGGTTTCGGTTTCAGCCCGAGTGGATCATGTGAAGTTAATTCCATAACTACCCCTTTCGAGGAAGAAGTTTCTTTCTGTATTCCCCAAAATAGCCCTACAATTTGTTCAAAAGGCAACGGGTCGATGAAGGTGGGCCCGTTTACACCGGCTAAAAGTGATAGTTCAAGGAGCTGTCTTAGTGGCTACTCGGACCACCCGAACTACATGGCATACACCAAGTCATCACGGGCTAAGGTTCGGTCGGTGAGCGCACCAAGACAAAGGCCTCAGATTGAGGTTTCTAATACCATGAAGAGGTATTCGGTGTATGGTTATGTTGCGGGCCCAGGTTTGGGACCGGGCCCGCAACACAGTTCAAATCTGAGGGATAGTTTTGTGAGCAAAGCATATCCGGGTTCGGGTCGGCTTGATCGGCTTGGGATGCCGGTTGGGGGTTTAGGTATTCGTGAGAGTGAGTTTAGTGGTAGTTATTGGAACTATTAAACTTAAATGTGTGGGTGGTTAGTGTGAAGTTTTTCTAATGTAGTGGGACTTTATGACTTATGAGAAGGTAGATTATATATGTAAGTGCAATTTGTAACGAAACCCCTGAGGTTTATAATACCTGAAGATTAAACCCTTGAAGTTTCAGTTTTTATGTTGTTCTTGAAGCTAGAGTGGACTAGAGGTGTACAAAGAGAATGGTCCAACCGGGTTTTTTATAACAGGATTGGACCGTCGGTTTTGTTCGGGTCATTTTTTCAAGCTTTAACCGGTCCTCATTTGGGCTTTACCTAAGGTGGAGCAAGACTAGACTTTACTGGATATGTTAACTCTTAATAATATTAATAATGTGAAATCAAAACGTTATAATTTATAAATATTTAGAAAAAGTGCAATATATCTATAAGTCTATTTTTGGCTATTTTTGTAGTTTAATTATTATATTTCAATTTCATTAATAAAAAGGTTAATATTATAAAACTCAACTTTAATTTTATTTTTCCTGAAAAAAATATTGTATTTTTTCATATTTTTTTTTATTCGGCCGTTTTATCATTTATTTTTTCTGGAAAAACTTGCTAAATGTGAGGGTTTTTCAGAAAAATAAAAATGCAAAGTAAAGGGTTTTTTTGGAAAAAAAAATTGAAGGGTCGAAGGTTTTTTTTTTTTTGGAAGAAAATAAAAAGTTAAAAGTTTTACGGAAATAATGAAAAATTAGAAGCTCTTTTTCTTAAAAAAAGATAGAGGTTAATACAGAAAAAATACATATGTAAAGTCTTTTTATTTTATTAACTGTTAATAAACCACATAAGTTTGTCAATTTTACAGCAAGATATCTGAAAGCCTGTTATAGAAGAAGTTTAAAGTGCTTATAATAGAAATTTGCTGAAGTGTATTGGTTTTGCTGAAAAGTATAAACTGTCGATAATCATTCTACCAAAGCCGATAAGCTGTGACGATCACTTTAACATGCTATGCAATATTTTTTTAAATAACATATGTTATGATTACCTTTTAACAGTTGCATAATTATCTTCTTTTTTCGATATCGGTTGTAATTTAGAAGGTTCGGTATCTATACATCTATATTTTATATATTTAACCAATGCCTTTGTGGCTACAGAGTAAAACTTGAACATCTCATACAATTATCATCAAATAATGAAAGGACACTATTATTCAATTATGTGACTAATTGTTTAATTCAAATATCTTCTAATCTACTATTATACTTAATTTGCTAAGTTAAATATTGTTTTAATCTTAAAACCTAAATCGAAAATTATATTTAACTTTATCACGTGTGGAACTCATTGATATAAGCTATGGAGATGAAGTTGTTCTAATAGATGTCTTGTTTTTATCACATGGTTTACAATACCAGTTTTTTTTTTTTGACATCTTATATCAACTCTGTATAAGAAATTGTTATTTCATAGTGACAATTGTTCGCCTTAATTAGAGGCACCACTATCAATTCAAATTTCGAATAATAATGAGACCAGATATATGGCGAACACTTTTGTTAGGCCACCATTTTGATCGATTTTGTATAATATATATAAAAAAACTCGGATTTACACAACGAAAAACAAACTAAAAACATGTGATAACGACTGATTTGTAGACATATCAACAATAAATTCATAAGGTAAAAAAAAAAAAAAAAAGAATAAACTTTTGCAAAATGTGGACTTGAAAGATGCAAGTCGTTATATCATTATCATTGGTTGTTGCAATGCCATCTGGACGTAGGCACACAGCTCAAGTAATGACACCAGCTGCAATGATCGTTCCCATTCTCTCCTTTCAAAAGCATCACCAATCCAACAGCAAACCTGCAACCACAAGGGCAATACTGTCTTTTTACACTTTTTATCTTTTTACACTTTTATCAAGGGAAATAAAAAAACATACCCAGCGATCAATAAGATGATGGAAAGAAACCAGAAAGCGTATTGGAAAAGGGTATATTTGGATTTTCCACGAGCCTCAACAGGAAGATGTCTGCGTTCTTGCCAAGCAAATTGGGGACGAATGAGTAATACAAAACCAAGGAGAAAACCGGTTAAAAAACCACCAATATGGGCAAAATTGTCAACATGGGGAAGAATTCCAACAGCTAAATTGATCAAGATGATGATCACAAGTGTGATCAAAGCTGTAGCCTGAATTGATTAAAAAACGACAAGATAAAAACACTTTTTGAGATTAAAAAAAAAAAAAATACCAATATAATTAATATTACCTTGTTGGCATAAATAGTCCAGTTAGTAAGAAGTTCAGATAACATAGCTCCAAGAAGACCAAAGAGAGCTCCAGAAGCACCAACAGAAATGTTGCTTTTTATGAAAAGTGTAGAAAGTATGCTTCCACCAATTCCAGACAACAAGTAGATTACTCCTACACGTGCTGTAATAAAAAGACTCATTTTACTTTTAGTGATATAATTATGAAATAAAATGTTATGAATGCAAAAACATACCAAAGCCAAATTGTTGTTCAAGTCGGATCCCAATGAAAACCAAACTTAACATGTTTGCAAGTAGATGAATAACTCCTGCATGCAACCAGATACATGACACTAGTCTCCATGCTTCATTCTCATTCACTACTTTTTTCCACTCAAGAGCTCCCAATTTTTCCAATCTACAAAATAATGGAAGCCAGAATAAGTTGATATAACTTCCAAATTCATTCGTTATGATTCAAATGACACAAAAAACAAGAATTTTAGACATGGAGACCTCACCCATAGGCGTTTTTACTTTATTTTCTTGCAAAACTAGCAGGGGAGGAAAAATCACAAACACAAATTTAAACATATAAAAACCTAATCCAATGTGTCGAATCTAAAATCATTACAAGACGCTAATTGCATGCTTAAGAATAAATCCATAATTTACAAAACTCATCCCCAAATCGTGAAAGTGAATCCAATACCCAAATTGAGTAAGTAGTGAAAACCTCCAATGTGGACCATTACAAAATCAAAGTTTACACAAAAGATGCCTAAAAGGATATGTAAGAAAAGCTCACAAGTAAAGAAAACCCCAATTCAAATTCACATTAGAATTGTCAATTACACGCATTAAAGAGTATGATTACGAAGAACGCATCAAATATTATCATCAAGAATCATCAATTAACATACAAACCGTAAATCATAATCAATAATCAGCTTTCAAGTAGAAGAACTAACGATTATGAACTGAAAAATACCTTATAGATCTTAATAACACATTAAAACCTAAAATCAGGTGTGAGGAAACTTACGTAGAAGAAGAAGGCCCAAAAAGGGGATTTTCTTTAAGAGGCTGAAAAGAGAGTCTGCCCAAAAACCTAGCAACGCAGTTCCCCTCGAGACTCGAATTGTGGTTCTTAGGACAATCATTAACAATCATGATGACGATAAACATAGCCACATTCGCAACAACAATCATAGGAACAAGCCAAGAAGTCCATTGTTTCTCCGATGATTCGGCGTAGTACGGAGAAGACGATGTGTAATAATTGGAGTGCGGCGGCGGCGGTGGTGGTGCACCTCTGTTCTTCCAGCTTCCTCTGCTCTCTAGATCTCTGTTACCCATCACACCAAATTCAATTTTTAGTCTTCCTCGCTAATCTTTTCTTCGATTCGATGTCGAATAGGTGTTTGTATAATATATATGTAGGGTTTTGATTAGGAAGTAACTTGGAAGGGATGTAGAGGGAGAGCTGTGTTGTTAGAGAGAGAGAGAGAGAGAGAGAGAGAGAGAGAGAGAGACGGGGGTGGATCGATGAGTGTTGCTACCAATATAATCGCCGGAAATCAAAGAAAGCGGTGGAGATATGCGGTTGCTTGTCTGTCAACTTTATGTTAGGTGACCTGGTAATCTGAGAAACCTTTAACGGTTATCTTACAAAATTCTCAATTTCAAAGCAACTTTATTTTATAAAAAGATGTACATGTGGCACCTAAAATTATAGTTTATTTGAGCTTTAAATAGTTAAACATTTTGCTTTGAATAGTTAAACATTTTTCTAGTTTTTGACGGTGTGTTAAAAACCAGTTCGAAACAGGACATAGTAGTTCAACAATGATCGGTTTTCTGTTAAGTATTTGATTGGATTGAATCAGATGGTTTCTTTACAAACCGGGTCGAACCAGTGTGATATAATCGATAAAACCGTTTGAACCGTTTATTTAACTTTGATAGTTGGATTTCACTTAGCTCATTAAAAAAACAGTCAATAATAGTTCGATCGATTAGGTTATCAAAAATGTATACAACTTGAAAACTGATGCACAACACTGTCAAATATAGACCGACAGTATAACCGGTTGACGGGTTGAACCGGAAAGCGGTTATTAGACTGGTTCAACTAAAAAACCGGTTTTTAAAACATTGATTTTTGATTATTTACTTAAAATTATTTAAATTAATATGAATTTATTGATTAAGTTATTAGAGTTTTGACTTATTGTGTTTGTTACACTAGCTTTTAATCCTCTTTAATACATGAATATTTTTTTGCCACTTATCAAATTCTCAAAAGTTTTGACACATATAATTTCGTGGGAGTTTTAGAATTATTATTTTTCAATTGTCATTTTTTGGGAATTTCCATTTTTTTAAAATAAAATTCCAAAAAATTCTAACTAGTTTTATAAGGAAAGAAAATCATTCTATTAATTTGATAATAAAGTCTCATAAATGCTCTAAATAATATTTGATTTTTTTTATAAATCTTTCAAAAGATTACATTATGTTATGTAAAAGTGTTATTTTATAAAATATTTAATGTTTAAATATTGATATTAAATTTTATTTTTTAAAAACCCGTGTCGTACACGGAAACATTAAATATTTTATAAAATAACACTTTTACATAACATAATGTAATCTTTTGAAAGATTTATAAAAGAAATCAAATATTATTTAGAGCATTTATAAGACTTTATTATCAAATTAATAGAATGGTTTTCTTTCCTTATAAAACTAGTTAGAATATTTTGGAATTTAATTTAAAGAAAATGGAAATTCCCAAAAAATGACAATTGATATTAAATTTTATTTTTAAAAAACCTGTGTCGTACACGGGTCTCACACCTAGTAATGTAATATTCATCTTTTACACGATAAAAATATCTCAACACATTTGACATATAACTACATAAGTATTCTTTATATATCATTTATTAAACTTCAATGATAATCATTCATAATCTAACAAAACAATTATTTATTGTGAATTTTCAATTTTTTTAAGGGAACTTTCAGGGACACTAAAGATAAACTTTCATGAAAACATAAGTTGAATATTGTTAAGATTTAAACATAGATCAATAAGTTAATCATCACATTTTCTATATGTTTTATCAAGTCATCACGACCAAATGATTATTCATATAAAATATATTTGTTTTATTTTTATTTGTTTACATTGATTGAATATTTAGATACAATTATTTTTGTTTCAAATTTCAATTGAGTATTCCATCAATCATTACTTATAAAGTACCAACAAAACAATATAAATAATTAAATACACACATATTTAAATTTATTATGAAGAAATATCATTCAATTACTTATTCTATACAATTAATTTATGTATATGATAAACCGGTTCAAGACCAATGATCCAACCGGCCAAGTGCCAACCAACAAAATCTTATTTACGCGTTCCTAGATTGACGTGTTCATATATCATTCCGGCTTTTATAATTATTTGATATCCAAAAAGTTGTGTTTTTGGATATATTTTCTTATAAATAAAGTAATACATTATAAGTTGATTTTGATGAGGTATGAAATAATAGTTTTATACTGTAAATTTACTTAAAATCCTATATTTGATTTTCTTATTATTATTGTTGTTTAAACATATTCTTTTTTTACTTTAGATTTGTTTATTAATAATTATTTGTTTAAAAAAAAACAATAATATGTTCCATAACCAAGACAAGAGTTGGATTATTAAGGAATTGAAACAGAAGAAATTTTCATGTTCATATGTTTGGTTAACATTGAAAGTAAAGTTGTTTGATTTTAAAATTTGTCAAAAGAAATTGAAATGCAGATTACGTAAAATAAAAAATATATATATTTTAGTAATTCCTTTTTAAAATTTCTTTCTTTTTTGTATAAAAAAAAAAAAAAAAAAAAAAAAAAAAAAAAAAAAAGCGGTCTGAAAAATCATCGAGATAAGCTGTTGTAACTTGTAAGCTGTCTTGGGTTGGACCAAAGTCGCAAGCGTTAGCGCTGGGTCAGGCCAGCTTTATGGTGGGCAGGTGGGCTGAAGGCTGCCAAGTGCCCAAGTGTGCCTAATTGTTGGGTTACCATATCGCGTCCTTGTTTCATCCAAATACATTTTTTTACGATTTACAAAAGAAAAAAAAACATATACTCCCTCCGTCCCAATATTATTGTCCACAGACAAAAAAAACATACATATTAAGAAAAACATTAATTACCACTAACTTTATTTAATAATCAATCAGTAACAAAATAAATTTTAATTGTAAATTAAACAGTCCATCACAACAATCAAACAGTTCAAAATCGATGAAAAAACTATTCATACACTAAAGCGCCAACACGAAGAAAAAAAAAAATTCAGTCCAAACCGGTATCTATATTACTATCGGGAATAATATGGTTCTTTAAAAAAAGAAGTTAATGTAAATTGTTCACATATTAGAATTTCTATGAATGTAGGAGTCATAGGAATTTTCTTTCGTTTCCGTTTCCTTAGTGTATTAGGAGTTATCTAATATTAGAAAACCTCCTCTCTCTCTCTCTCTCTCTCTCTCTCTCTCTCTCTCTCTACATATATATATATATATATATATATATATATATATATATATATATATATATATATATATATATATATATATATATATGACAAAACTACAAAATTGGTCCCTGTGGTATTCAAAAAACTTTGATAGGGTCCAAAAAGTTTTCAACTTGCATGGATGGTCCAAAATCAAGAATTTCCTTTGGTTTTGGTCCCTAAACAATTTGAAATGACTCTTTTACCCTTTTCATTTGTTTTTTCTATTTTCTTTATTAACTTAAGTATTTAAATAATTAGAAAATAATAAAAAATAAAATCCTACCCCACCCCACCCTATCACTCCACCGGTAACCTCTCTCTCCCTCTCTCTCATGTTGACATAAACACATACATACACAGATCTTTCAAACAACTACATCGAAACCATTGAAGCCCTTCAAATCGAAATCAGGAGGAACACACATACACAACCAAAAAATAAAATCAAACTGAAATTGAAGAGACAAATATACACAACCAAAATTGAAATTGAAATAAGAAGAAACCCATGATTTACACCTGTGTTTTTGTTCACCGAGTCAAAATTGAAATTGAAGAAACACACATAACAATAACAATATGAAGATTGTTTAAAAAAAACAAGATTTGCTAAACCTGGATCTGTACCATCCATAAATTCTCCTTCACGGTTCTCTGACTCTATTGATTGAATCCTGGATCTGTACGATCTATACAAATTTCTTCTTTCTTATAACTTATAATTCTCGTCATGAAATTTTCACAAAAACATCTTAATGATCGAAATGTATTCCCTCGACAATCCTCGTAACCTTAAAAGAATCAAGATTCGTTCTCTGGGTTCACCCCGCCACCATTTTCCTGTCAAAACATTGAGTCTGCCATTTATTACCACAATGTTCAATGGTGATACTCCCCATTCTCACATTCTTTCACATACACAGTGTGAAAAATGATGATGGGTGCATCCAATTTGATGATGGGGTTAACCCTGGTCCTTGTGGTCTTTCTTGCTGTGGTTCTTAGCTTCGTCTTGGTTCTATTGGCTGAGCTCCACTACTCCATCCTCGTCCGCTGCCGTCAACTTCAACAAACCACCACCACCACCGTCACCGCACCTCTAACCATAGTAGACAACAACAACAACTCATCTTCTCCCTCTCCCCCTTCATTCGTCGGTGACGACATAGAGAAGCAGCAACAACTTCCTCAACAGCCGAAAAATCAAGAAAATAACCAAGAAGGGCTTCAATGGTCTCTTAAATTTAAACCCACCACAACCAATTTAGGGTTTTCTCCTTACATTTCAGAATGAAGTCGATTTGGGGTTATTTTTACGAAGGTGGGATTTGTGTTCTCTGTTGGTTTACGAGAGAGAGAGAGAGAGAGAGAGAGAGAGAGAGAGGGAGCGATGGGGTTACCGATGGAGTGATAAGGTGGGGTGGGGTATATTATTTTTTTTATTTTTTCTAAATATTTAAATACTTAAGTTAATAAAGAAAATAGAAAAAACAAATGAAAAGGGTAAAAGAGTCATTTCAAGTTCTCCAAGGACCAAAACCAAAGGAAATTCTTGATTTTGGACCATCCATGCAAGTTGAAAACTTTTTGGACCCTATCCAAAGTTTTTTGAATACCACAGGGACCAAATTTGCAGTTTTGTCTATATATATATATATATATATATATATATAATATATATATATATATATATATATATATATATATATATATATATATAGGTAAGTTCAATTTAGAAAAATAAAAAAAGGTTGAGAATGAGAGAATCATTCTCAGCCACTCATTTATTTTTGTCGCAAAAGCCTCTGTTGTACCAGCGGAAATGGATAAGGAATACACATGTCTCCTTAAACTATGCTAATCATTACCTTAATATATATAAAAACATACTTTTTTCGTTTTTTTAATTTTTAAGAAACTATTTTTATCGAAAAATTATTTTAAATATACCAAAATTCATTATTTTTTATTCTCTACAAATAGACATCCATATTGATATACTTTTAAAATAAAATAAAAAATTTATTTATTTTATATTTTCAGCTATCGTTATTCATAACGGAATAAAAATGCATCAGATTTTTGCTACAGTACATTCGTTATTCACTTATGAATAAAAATATATAATTACTTTTTTTTACAGTTTGAGTATCATTTATGCTACTTATTCATATATGAGTAACAAATTAACTGTAAAAAAAATCTGATAAATGTTTTATTCATATATGAATATAAAATATGACGACAACTAATACACGTTTTATTCATATATAAATATAATATATGACGAAAGATGATGTAAAAAATATAATTTAAGTAAGAAAACTTTATTACGTGTCATATTCATATATGAACGATACTTAAACTATAAAAAAAAGTTAAGCACACGTTTTATTCATAAGTGAATAATGAATGTACTGTAATAAAAATCTGATAGATTTTTATTCATTTATGAATAACGAGAGCTGAAACTCTAAAAAAAATAAATTTTTTATTTTATCTTAAAACTATATCAATATGGATGTCTATTTATAGAGAATAAAAAATTATGAATTTTGATAAATTTAAAATAATTTTTCGATAAAATGGCTTTCTAAAAATAAAAAAAAACAAAAAAGTATGTTTTTGTGTATATTAAGGTAATGATTAACATAGTTTAAGGACACATTTTATCTGTTATCCATTTCCGACGGTACGCCTAAGTGTTTTGCGGCAAAATAAATGTGTGGCTGAGAATGATTCTCTCATTCTCAACCTTTTTTTTCTCAATTGAACTCTCCTCTCTCTCTCTCTCTCTCTCTCTCTCTCTCTCTCTCTATATATATATATATATATATATATATATATATATATATTATAATATAATATATATATAATATATATATATATATATATATAGGGTTAGGTTCATGTGAGACGACCTAATTTTGTGAGACCGTGAGACGCAATACTAGCTACTAATTTAGTAGATAAAACAAAAACATTTTTAAAATGCAAAATAATTGAAAATTTTCGAAATTTTTTTTTCCAATATTATTTTCGAAATATATATTTTCCAAAAAAAAAAAAACCAAAAAATAAAAAAATAATAAAAAAAAATACATTTTTTTACATATTCTAGTAGAATATATAATATTCTACATATCTGACAAATCTAGTAGAATATTCTAACATTCTAAAAATCACATTAGAATATGTACAGTATAATATTCTATTAGAATATTTCACGTATTTTTCAGAAAAAACGGTAATTTTTTTTTTATTTTTTTTAGGTAAATAAAGTTATGAAAATAACAATTAAAAAAAGAATTTTTGGATTTTTCCTTTTATTTTGTATTTTAAAATTATTTTTAGATTTGGTCTCACTGTCTCACAAAATTAGCATGGTCTCAAATGAACCTGAACCTATATATATATATATATATATATATATATATATATATATATATAGGAGCAGGATCAAATGAGAACACTAAAAAGGTTGAGAACGCGAGAACTGTTCTGGACCAAGTATTATCTAATGATATCTTTATAATTATGGAAACTAGTACTAAAATCCCATGATTATAGGAAAGTAAAAATCTTTCTATTAGGCTAAAATCAGCCACACTCGTCTCCTCTTACCTCTTTATAGCTACGATTGTATGCTCCAAGAGAACCCTAACTCATGCTTTTCTTCATTGATCCAATACCCCTTTTCAGCAAAAGTGGTGCACTACCAATCCACACCCATCCATGTACACCGCCGTCACCATCATCGTCCCAACGTACCTCCGCTACCGCTGACCACTTTTGAATAATCACCACCACCCAAGGTGCCGCCTTTCACCTCAGTGGCCAAGTCGCACCCATGGTTCGTTTTCTCCACCGCCCCGATCGATCTTCAGAACCATCACCAACTCCTCTTTCAGGTGTTTATGTCGACTACACTTTCTACCACTTAATTTGTTCATCTTCCGCTTTTTTTTTCTTCCTGAAATCAGGGTTTTTTTTAACCATCAATTGATTTTCCTCAATTGCGTCATGCTGGATTTTTAACAACAAATACTAAAGCAGAGTCTAGTTCAACTTATATGCGCAATTAGGGCTTCAATTTTATTTCTTACCGATGTCGTGAACAAAGACTGCCAAAGGTATCTGTGGTTTTCATTCTATTAACTGTTGTTTAATTTTAATCAATATAGGAACCTCCATTTAATTGAAGTTTTGCATGAATCAGAATTGATTGTCGTAACACTTTTAGGTTTTCAGTAATTCAAAATTAAGGAAAATGATTGTTGATGTTGAGAGATACATGCTACTGTAAGATGAAATTTGTTTGTTCAAGTACATTTTAATTCATGAGATGTTTTGTTTCTTTTTTAAATAAAGATAGCTAATTTCTAGAAAAATAGGAGTAACCTGTAATAAAAAAGAGAAATCACAAAGAGAATTCTAAAGCAAAAAATACAAAGATAAAAGACTCCTAAACTAATTTTAAACATCTCTTTTATTCTTGAATTAAAACTTTTAGTGAATTTTTTATATTTCATCAAGGATTTTGAATTGTTTTTAGTTATAATCATTTATAAAGATGTATATGTTTGTGTCATTATTTTCACCAAATAATGTTTATATTGTAAACTTATCTAATTATTTTGGTAATAATCATTTATGAAGACAATATTTTTTGAGTTTAATCATTATCAAAGATAACTATATTATAACTTTACGGTGTTATACATTCAAACATGATGTTTGGAATAATTATATCCTTAAAGCTTTATGTTTTGAACATATGTAACTTTAAAGTAGGAAAATCCGTATTTGATCATGATTAGTTGCACCTTTCTTTGTTTCTATGTGTATTTCTTTGTTTCTATGTGTATGGCATCACTAAGAAAGTTTAGGTCTTGAGTGTATCAAGAGGTTTTAAGAATGGATTTATTCATTCGAGTATATTTGTTTTTTGTTTTAAGTTTTAGTATATTTTATTTTTTGTTAATGATTACAACCATGCGTTATATATTTCCGATTAAAATTGTATTTGGTTAATGAGTTAAGCATTTTATGGACACTTATTCATTTCTGATTAAAACTGAATATGGTTAATGAGTTAAGCATTTTGTGGACAATAATACATAATATTTCCTTTGATTTTATGTAGATCGACCGAGTTGATATAGATGAACTAAAGGATTAGAAGGATGAATGATGAGTACATTGTAGATTGTCTAAAAGAAACACAGACAAAAACATCTCTGTTGGAAGAAATGGAAATGTATTATATTCATTTATGATTACAAATGTATTAACACATTGTAATTTTTTCATTTATGATTATCAATGTGTTTTATTTTTGTTTACTATTAAAACTTTTATTGATATTTATCTATAATTTGTGTTATACTCATTTACGAATACAAATTTGGAAATGTATTAATTTAATATTATAACTTTAATCAATGATGAATGAAACGTATGAATTTATATTTTATGTAGGAATTTGATTAAAGTTTAATGAATATTTTGATAATATTATAAAATTTTCAGTTGTTTGATATTGATTCATTAATATGGGGAAAAACACAAAAAATGTGTTTTAGAAATAGATGATAATCGATGAATTTATTAATGTTTGGCTCATTCAAAAAATAAAATTTAAGAAATTAAATTACTGATTTTTTTTAACGTCGCCAAAAGAAAGAAATACAGTTTATTTTACTTTGAGAAAATATAATAATTATAATGATTTTTATATCTATTAATAACAATAAGAAAAAAGAAATTAAATTAGTAAATTTTTTTTGAACGTGATCTTTATAATTATGGAAATTAGTACCAAAATCCCATGATTATAGGCAAATAAAAATCTAATATTACTTAAATGACATAATTACAAATATATCATTAGATAATTATTGGTCCTGTTCTCGCGTTCTCAACCTTTTAGGTGTTCTCAATTGATCCTCTATATATATATATATATATATATATATATATATATATAGAAAAATTCAATAGAGAACCATTATTAATCAATGAACCAATGAACTAATCCAAAGCGTCGAAATTTAAAGCGATCAACGGCAAAAGGAAGGATTGTAGACTTTTACAATAGACGCACATACATCAGATTATAACAAAAACGCACTTCCTTTTTTTCATTTAAAATTTTTTTTAGGCCATGTTTTTTATCGAAAAAAAATGAGTACACCGTTGTTCACGATTTTTCGTCCTTTTTCCAAAGAGATTCATGATAATATATAAAAAACGAATTTTTTGTTTCGAAAAAAAACTCACCTCATTTTCTTTGTTGAAAAGTTAAGGTCTATTTTTTATAGAAAAAAATAATAAAATATATCAAAATTCATGTTTTTTTATACTTTTTACACATAGATTCATATTCGGGTAAAAAAAACTATGTTTCAGTTCAGATTCACATTGTGAACCTGTTCAGATTCATATTGTGAACCTATTCAGATTCACATTGTGAACCTTCTCAGATTCATAGTGTGCATAATAGTAAAGTCAGATTCACGGTGTGAATCTGAACTGATCGAGCTTTTTCACATTGTGAATGTTAAATTTTGAAATATTTACAGTTTAGATTCACAGTGTGAATCTACACTCATCGACGTTTTTTTTTTTTGAACTTTCTCAGATTCATAGTGTGTATAATAGTAAGTAAGATTCACAATGTGAATCTGAACTTATCGAGCTTTTTCACATTGTGAATGTTGAAAATTGAAATATTTACAGTTTAGAATCACAGTGTGAATCTACACTGTTTGAGTTTTTTTTTTTTTTTTTTTTTTTTGTCGGTGTTGATGTTTATTAATAGAGTAAAAAAAATTAATATTTTTGGTATAATTAGTTTTTTTTAATAAAAATAAATTTAAATATTGAAAAAACTAACAAAATGAAGTGAGTTTTTTTTCGAAAAAAAAAAAAAGTTCGTTTTTTATATATCAATATGGATCTCTATGGAAAGAGGACGGAAAATCGAAAACAACGGTATATTCGTTTTTTTTTTTTGATAAAAAATGTGGTCTAAAAAAAATTTTAATTAAAAAAAGAGGTGAGTCTTTTGATAAAAAGGTGAATTTTTTGGTATAATCCGGTGTGTGCGTCCAATATAAAAGTGTACATCCATTTCCTTGGCCGTTGATCATTATGATTTCTGACGCTCACGATTGATTCATTGGTTCGTTGTTAATTATGGTTCTCTATTGAACCTCACCACAAATATATATATATATATATATATATATATATATATATATATATATATATATGGAAAAATTCAATAGCGAACCATAATTATTGGTTCTCTAAGGAACCAAATTCTTTTTCATGTTCTACAGCTTATTCTTTATTGAAAAAAAAATCTAAATTCATAACTTAACATTGTGAATGTGAAAAATATTTTTCGGATTCACCGAGTGAATTTAGATTCACATTGTGAATTTTCAAAGATTCACATTGTGAATTTGACGAAAAAAAAAATCGAATTTGATATCATTGGAAAAATGATAAAAAGTTATGAATTTCTGTATTTTTAGTTTTTTTTTTTGATAAAAAATAAGTTCTAAATATTGAAAAAAAGATTGGTTCCTTGGTTAATTATGGTTCTCTATTGAACCTCACCCAATATATATATATATATATATATATATATATATATATTATATATATATATATATATATATATATATATATATTACCGAGTTAGGGATAATATATATAACCAATTGTAATATGAGTTTTGAGTTATTTTCTCAATAAATCAGTCTGGTTATATTTTCTTCTAAATCTTTGATTAAGTTTTTGAATTGGTATCAGAGCTTCAAGGATAACCACCAAAATCGATAAGCCATGACCGGTGAAGTACTTCCTCGAGCAAGAAAGAAGGCAGCGACTTCCGTTCTGTGTCCCATGCTTATGTCCAAGAACTACATCGTCTATGATATGCGGATGAAGGATGTACTGCGAATCCACAAGGCATAAGAGACGATCGATCCAGGCACTAGCGCCTATAACACCGAAAAGAATGATTTAGCAATGGGTTTGTTATATCAATCCATTCCATAAACGTTGATCATGCAACTTGGCGAGCAAGCAACTGCGAATACCCTTTGGGAAGCAATCAAGGCACGCCATGTAGGAGTTGATCGAGTGAAAGAGCCTATGTAGAATCAATATGTGTTGTGATAATGTCGAACCTTAGGTAGTTGTCAGATTGCGAATAGCCTGTAAATAACGAATGTTTGTTTGACTTTGTTATATATCTATTTACTAGGCACATTTGTGATTCGTTATGTAATGTCGAGTCCTAGTATTTTTGTATCTGTGAGTACCCTATAAATAGGATAGGTACATTAGTGAGTTGTAACTTTTTGCAAACTTGTACACATTGAGCTTTCATTATCATTACAAAACCTTTGTACTCATTTCCAGATAATAGAGCTGAAACCAGATCGTATTTAGATTTTTCTGTTCTATTAACTCTGATTCATCTTACGATTCTTAAAAACTTAATTAAAACATCCTTCCAAATGGTATACAAGCAGGAATCTACACATCGCTTTGAAGAATCGTATTCATGTGTTCATCTTATAGGATCATTTTTTCCAATTCAATTATTCCGCAGGTTGAAACGTAATTCTTCGTTTAATCCTTGTGATTAAACGATTCTGCAATTGTTTTCTCAAACCTTTTGCATCCGCTTACTTTCTTTTCAAAGTTAATCCTCCTTTTATTCAATCAAATGGAAAATCTGAATGTCAACACCATGATGAACTAAGCAAACCTGGTTGGATCTGCTACAAAAGTTCCAATGCTGCTTCCAGAGTATTACGATTAATGGGCAGATTGTATGGAAGTCTATCTCAACGGGATTTATGAAGATCTTTGGCGATCTATCAAAAAATGACCTTATCGTGTTGGTCTAATTCAAGCAGTTGGAAATGTTGGTGCTGTTAAAGACATGATTGCTCAAGGAAACAAGAAGAAGGCGTATGACAAAAGATGTCTTCGTGAACTGCATGGAGCTTTGCCACCAATTGTTTACAACTATGTTTGAGGTTGTAAAAATGTGAATGAAATTTGGGACACTTTGAAAGAGAAATATCAAGGAAATTAAAGAACTAATAAAAGTTTAGTCACTCAATGCTTGTCGGAGTTACCCGATTTTAAGCAAAAAGAAAGTGAGTCTATCGAAGCTTATTACGATAGATTAAATGAGTTTATCTATAAGTGTACTAGATATGGAGTTGTTCGTACCACATTGGAGTTCAACCTCACCTTCATTTTGGGACTGAGAAAGGAGTAGAGGAATATTTGTCTCATGATCAAGACTCAGTAGAATTTTGACACCTACTAATTGTCAAATCTCTGTAACATTATGAAAATACATGACTCTGAGGTGAAGGAGATAACTGAGGAGAACAACAAGATGAATTTTGGTGGTCCAATGGAACTTGTTTCGAAGAAAATTGGTAAAGAGAATGGTTCTGATAAAGAAGCAAAGGAAAGTGAAGAAGGTTTTCTACTCAACTCAGATGACGAAGTTGTTGCCTATTACTCCAATAATAGGGTTAAGAAGTTTTACAAAAAACCAATAAGTGGAAACTTCAAAAACACTTCTGTGAGCAAGCCAATGTTGAACTCTAGTGTAGGACAAAAGAGTGTTGAGAAGGTAGAGAATAAAGAAGAAGAGAATAAGATTTAGAAGAAAAAGTATTTTGAGAAGGCATGAGTAAAAGAAGGAAAAGTGAAGGATGAGGCGTACTATGCTACGACGCTTGAAGAAGTTCATTCTAAGAAAAAGAATCTTTCATTGGTTGCGAAGGGTGATGATGATGAGGATGAAACCTATCAAATATGGTCATATGGCTCCGATAACGAATAAATGTGTCATGGAGTCATGTTCGCAAAACATGTTGAGGGTCATTCCGGTGAGAAGAGCTTGATTGTGGAAGATATTGATTGGGAAGAGATGGAGAAGGAGAAAGAAGAAAAGAGGGAAGAAGAGGTAGATCCGTTGACGGGAAGATGTTTCATTACGACAGCTTCAAAGTCTCCCATGACCAAGAAGGTACGCGATCTTCGTGTCTCTCTTAATGTTCCTTTAAATTCTTATCATTCTATACTATCTGATTTTGATGATACATGCTATTACTTGAATGATATGTTGATTTCTATGAGTAGCGAAGCGGAGAAAACTAAGACAATGCTTTATGAAGCAAGAAATAAATTGGAGGAAAAGAACACTAGGATAAAAGGCCTAGAGTTAAAAATCACAAATCTCATGATAAAAAGGGATTCCATAAAGATGGACAATAACATGTTGGTTAAGCAAATAAATATCTACTGTAACACTGCTAAGCGTCTGTATGGGAAATTAACTGATCTTTATCATTCATCAGACATTTGCAAGGAACAACATAGGAAATTACTCACATTCATAAATTTCAAATGTGAATTAGTTGATGAAACTACTTTTGATTGAGAGAGTAAAGTAGTTGAATATGACCAAGTTCCTAACAATCCTTATGCTTATGGTGTTGTTAATATCAATGAATGCTTGGATTCTGATGAATTGGTTGATACTGTGAATGAGACTTTGACTAAATACAAACAAATGAATATCTTGAACAACACTGAGAATTCGACACTAAGTACTCAACAAAATTTTGCTTATATCGAAGATGATTCGGTCAATATCAGTGAAATCGAGGAAGATGAATGTGTTGATTTCTCAAGATTGTTTGTCATTAATGTCACTTCGTTAGCCAAAAACACATAAAATAATGATTCAACATCGAAATTAAATAATGATTTATCTTCGACAACCAAAACTAATGATTCTTAAGAGTATGTTGTTGTTGAATACATAACGAACAATGAAAGTGATAGCGATGATGATTCATGCGAAAAAGAAATTCCTCGAGTTGTTGAAGCTCAAGTGTTTGAGGAAACAACATAATAAAAAGGAAAACATTTTCTTGAACAAAACTCGGGTCTTTATCCATATTTCACTAATGAATTTCCAAACCAAAATTTCGTTACAAAAGGAAATGGAGAAAAATATGATCCAAAGTTGCAAAAATTGCTGAAAGAGGATAACTCGAATGTGTCGGACAAAGGATTTTATTCATATTCAAACATGGTTGAAAATGATTTGAATCAAAGATCAAAAACATTTCAACGACAAAAGATTCAAAAATCTTTTCCAAAATAAACTAAAAATCACAAAAATGGTGTTGGGGTTGTGAAAACTATCAAGCCTAATGTCCAAGGAGAAACTAAGAAAAGTTGTGATGAGCATTTTCCTAATGATTTTAGAAACCAAAAGGAAAAGACTCGAAATCACGAAAAAGATGTTGAAAAATCCGAATTGAAAGACAAAATTTCCAAAAGAAAAGCTCGGAACAAAGCTTATTGGAAGAAAAGAATGGATTTTCAAAAAGAAAAGAAATTGAAACAAAAATCACCACTAGTTCCTGAAAAGAAGTTTTCACAAAAATCTAAAATTCATACTTCAAAGGAAACTCCAAAAGTTTTTCACAAAGAAGTCAACACAAAGGTTGTGAATAAATCTCAAAATGGTTTTTCACAAAAATCAAATGTTTTTCAAAATAAAACTGAAAATGTTTTTTAATAAAACTTCATTCAGAGGTTACTGTTCACGTTTAGCGCTTCGATACACTTCGTTTTCGACATTCACTCTGACACGTTCAATGATTCTCGCCAAATAGCGAATGGGAAGGGAAGTCTTGAGTAATGAAATAGGGAATTGGAAGCGCCAGACTTTAAAAAACAAACAATCTTCTTCTTTCAGACTGTAGACGTTTGATCTACCTCTTCTACTGTAGATGTTTGCAGATGTGGTAAGCAAACTATATACATTTGTCCTTAGACAAAACAAACAACACCTGAGTGGTTGCCTTCGACCTCGGGTCAACTCACGACGCGGTAAACAGACCACCACGACATGTTGTTGCATCGGATTAAAGGTTGTTGCATTTCATTCTCATCATAAGCAACCCAAACACCCATGTAGAGGAGCTTCTATGATTTGAAGGATCAAGGAGGGCCAAGTGGCGGTTAAGGGTGCTAATGGATTGGATTAGACATCAAAAGCTTATGAGGTAATCATCTCCTTCATCTTTAATCTTTTAAGGATTTAATGGTAGTTATGAAATTGAGTTAGATATAGATGTTTATCCTTAAGAAACTTGTTAATTGATGTTATTGGTAGTGTTTAGAAGCTTTTAACAAGCTTTATGTGTGATTTAAATAGTGAAATCACTATGTATGAAGTTAGGGTTTGAAACCCTAAAATAGCAATTATGTTAATTGATACATTAGATTTTGGGTTTTATATGCCAGAGACTCATCCTAGAAGGTGACAAGGAATTAAATGGATCAAGACCCACTCAAAGGTAAGAGGAGTTTAGTAGGATATATAACATGTTATATTGACATAATTTGAATAAAATAGTTTATTTCAAAATGTATTGGTGTATAAAAAAATAAAAGTGACCGGTTTTACACATGGGATATAGTTCGTCGTTGATTACTTACACATGGGATATAGTTCGTCATTGATCGTAATAAAAAATTGCTACTTTAAAGTAAGAAGGATAACAGTTAATCGGAAAATCTCCGATGAAATCCTAATATTGTAGGCGAGTTTATGATTTAATCCTAACATTTATTTATTGAACAGAAAAATCTCGATCATTTAATTTTATACGATAATCTATCATTTTCTGTTGAAAACAAATCATGATTATTTTATTAATTTGAGCAAAATATAAAATAATTGAGACTTTTTTGTTAAAAAAAAAAGAATAGTTGAGACTAAACCGTAAATTAACTCAAAATATTGAGATTTAAGAAATTTCTCAAAGTTAAAAGCATATAAAGTATAAAGAGCTGAATTTGTGTGAGACCTTAAACTTGAGGGTTCCCAATTGAAATAACTACAAATATCAAATATCCCTTCTGATGATAGAACGGTGTTTAGCTTCCCTTCCACTGTGACAGTGTCACTCTTCTGTCTCGCCGCCGGTTGTATCTTGTAATTGTATGCCCGCCTTTTTTAATCTTCCGTTTGGCTGTTTTCTCAAACAACACCGTATTGTCAATCTCCCGAATACACCTACACTTATACTAATTTCTAGGTTTTGATCAGTGAAGGACTTATCTTAGTTGCAGAGACTGCTTTGCTCGACCTCTTAGTATTCGTAAGGTAAGTAATTTACGGTTTTTATTAAAGTTTTTTCGATTCTTTCGACCAATTTTGAAATAGGGTTTGGGTTTTGATTTGTAAAGGCATTGGTCTGATGTTAAATCGTTTTTTAATCGCTAAGTGTTCGATGTTCGTTCGTTACTTTTGGCGATATTATGATAGAATTTGGGAATATCATGTTTGATAGGAGAAAATGATTCTTCAGTCAACCAATTAAGTAGCAGCAACATGAAACAACGATTAACTAAAAAGAAAGAAGCCCTAATTACCAATCTTTTCATCTGCTGTATAAGTCTCTTACGCTTGTGAGGTTTCTTACTGTGCTTCATTTCTAGGTTTTGCTACCATGAATGGATATTGAACTCAATAATTCAGAGAAGCATTAGGAAAGCAATGGCAGCTATAGTAGCGACCCGGTTTCTTTTTCTTGTCGGAGATACTCTAACCCTAAAAAAGCTCCCAAAGTTTTCTAGACCTGCTTCTTTTCACAAGAGTGCCTACGTATTGAGCGCTGCAAATGCTCCATTAACTCTAAAAAGCCTTGGATTCAAGAACGACACCGAAACAACAACAACAACAACAAAGTTCAAGAAAGATAACATCAGACAAACAGTTTCCACTCCAGAACTCATCCAAGGTCAACTCAAAGAAGTCAAAACAAATCGAGTCAAAGTCAAACCGAAAGCCGTAGCTACAGAGAACCCTCTTGTAATCGAATCAGCCCCGTTTTCTGCAAAATCATTCTCTGAACTCGGTCTTCCTCCATTGTTAATTGAAGCATTAAACAGAGAAGGTTTTGAAGTCCCAACCGATGTCCAGTCAGCATCCATCCCAACAATCTTAAACAACCATGATGTTGTAATTCAATCCTACACAGGTTCAGGAAAAACATTGGCCTATGTTCTTCCAATACTTTCAGAAGTGGGCCCACTTGGAAACAACCACAACAACAAAGAAGCTAAAAGGAAACCTGATATCGAAGCCGTGATTGTAGCGCCTTCAAGAGAACTCGGAATGCAAATCGTGAGAGAAATCGAGAAATTGTTAGGACCTGAAAATAAAAGATTTGTCCAACAACTTGTTGGAGGGGCAAATCGGTCACGACAGGAGGAATCTTTAAAAAAAAACAAACCCCTAATTGTAGTGGGAACACCCGGAAGAATCGCAGAAATCAGTGCTTCCGGAAAGCTCCATACCCATGGTTGTCGTTACCTAATCTTAGATGAAATCGATCAACTTTTATCTTTCAATTTCCGAGAAGATATGCATCGTATAATCGAACACGTCGGAAAGAAAGCCAATTCCGATTACGATTCCGATACTTCCAATTCCAATTCCGTCCCGGTCGACGCCGGAACCGGAATCAAGAAACGGGTCGAGAGACAAACGATCATGGTATCCGCAACTGTACCATTCGCGGTAATACGCGCCGCCAGGAGTTGGGGGCGGGATCCGATTCTTGCACAGGCCGATAAAGTCGGCCCGCTTGAATCGGTCTCCCGTCCACCCGGCCCGGTGAACCTGGCGGCGGGACCAGGTCCCGCTGCCAGCAATGCGGTTTCCGGTAGCCTTCCGCCGTCCTTGAAACACTACTACTGTGTTTCAAGGCTGCAACATAAAGTGGATACTTTGAGAAGATGTGTGCATGCTTTAGATGCAAAAACAGTTATAGTTTTTATGAATCATACTCGCCAATTAAAAGATGCGGTTTTTAAGTTACAGGCTCGTGGGTTGGTGGCTGAAGAGTTACATGGTGATTTGGGGAAGCTTACAAGATCGACAATCTTGAAGAAATTTAAGAAAGGGGAAATTAGGGTTTTGGTGACAAATGAGTTGTCTGCTAGAGGTTTGGATGTGGCGGATTGTGATCTTGTGGTCAATGTTGACTTGCCTACTGACTCGGTTCATTATGCACATCGAGCTGGGAGAACCGGTCGACTCGGTCGGAAGGGTTCGGTGGTTACTATTTGTGAGGAGTCGGAGGTTTTTGTGGTTAGGAAGCTTCAGAAGCAACTTGGGGTGACTATTCAGTCTTGTGAGTTTGCTGAGGGTAAACTTGTGATTGAGGAAGAAAAGTGAAGAACTTTGTGTTTATTGATAATTATGAAATGTTGGTAATATTGATTTTAGTTTTACTGATAGATGTTACTTGTTTTGATATGATATTATGCTTGATACGAGTTTTTGCCAACATTTCATTAAGTGCATGTCGCATTGCCTTTGAGTTGTTCTTTTTATGATTTAGTCCTCATTCTCTTTCATCAACATCCAAGCTACTCCGTAATTCATATCTTACAAATTTTCATCTGATTCTTCAATGGAACACACTAGATACTAGATAGTATATAGTTGAATTTCACTATCATAGACCTCAACAACTTCTCTTTGATAGTGTTAACATGTATCAATCGCCACAAGCTTTCATCTTCTTGGCCATGACAAATGTTCTTGCAACTTATCGATTCACCTTTAAGATCCTTGCATAGTGCCTACAATTGTACCCTTTTAACTTTAATTCGGCCTCTACTATCCGTGATTTCCTTGTTGTCATCGGTGTTGTAAATAGTATCAAGAACATGTCTATTAATTAAATGTTACAAAAAGTTCTTGAGCTTCATATCTTTAAGCCTTTGGTCATTGATCATCCATTGTTGTGCTTGAGACCTTGAGTTGGTATGGCTCCTTTATGTGTGTTGATTTGGTCTTCTAAGAGGCCCACGTATTCCTTTGATTTGATGAAGTTGTTTATTAATTTTAACGGGTAATCATTGTGCCCGTCAAATGTAGGAATGTTTGGTACTACAAATCCCTTTGTAGTACTCTCTATTAGGATCCTCTACTTTGTTAGCATGTTAGCAAATATTTATGTTGGGCTTAGCCTTTTTTATTGAGGTTTTATTTAGCCTTTTAGATAGGTTAACTATAGTTTCTTTCCTTGTTCATATTCTTATTCCCCCTTTCATTGTATTTACACCGGAAAATGATTCGTATACAATAATTTTTCTCCATACATAATAATTTATGCTTTATATGTTTGTACAATACAACATTTAAAACATAATTTGTTGTGTATAGAAAAAAATTATTATGTACGAATCAACTCCCAAACGGTAACCCCATATATATATATATATATATATATATATATATATATATTCCAGTTTATAACCATTACAATGAGAAATATCATAATTGTTCAAATGATTTAAAGCACCCATAAAGGTTATGAACTCACCTAAATGAGAATGCCAAAGATAAAATTATGAACTTGTAAGGGTCAATGGATCCCACAAATCAAACATCACGACGTAGAAATCGTGAACACTCATATCATTTTGTTCATTTTGTTACAGGGCTTGAATATTTGTTGTTTCCAACTGGTATTATTTGGAAAAATTTAATTGAGTGTATAGTCTATTCAAATAATCTTAAACTTCTGTAATCGTATCATACTTAACCAATTGGGTCCCAATAGATTAAACTTTAGGTTTGTTAATCCATGTGATCATCTTAGAATTATCAATTTCCTATGAATCAAACAACGTTGCATAATTGGCGGCTTTCCCATCTATATGTCTACTTAGGGTATGAGTAACATAACCCTATAGATTTCATATATAAAAAGTTCTTCATGACATAAATCCAATAAGCATAATAGTTATTACCATCAAATTGGATACTAATAGACTCAAAGGAATTATCTATCCAAACCATATTGTCAATAACAAAAACAAATAGACAATCCAATACCACCAACAAATACGAATGATAATACAATTCCAAATGAAAACAAAAATATACCCAACAAATACGAGATGAGAATTAAACATAAATCACCAAAAAAATATTTGGTCTAGCAGGAGTGACTTTCTCAATTGAGAGGTCATGAGTTCAAGTATCTTTGGAGACATAAGTGATAATTTAGGACTAGATTAGTTTGCCGTTAAAAAAAATAAACATAAATCAATGAACAATAGCATGAACTTTTTGATGCAAACCTGGCTCTCATTATAAAGCCTTCTACAATCATCATATCAAAACACATAGATCGGATTGTGCTCTAATACCATGACGATTGAGAGCCAAATACCTCAAGTAGCTATTGGTACATTTGTTATTAATGAAAAGTGTAAGAGAAACAAGATTATAAATAAGGAAAGAAACTAGGGTAAACCTATTAAAGACAAAATAAAAGCTCAATACAAAAGACCCGTTTGATAGAATCTGTCCGGGAAAGTGCTGACTGGGAAAGTGCTGTATGAGAAAGTTTTCTGACTGATAAAGAAACCATGTTGTTTGATTGTACATCTGATTGACTGTGCTGAATGATGAAAAATAACAATATTATCTTGCTGTTCTATACTGTGATGGATGAAGTTGCTGAATAATTATAAAAACATACAAATTGTCATACAAAAATCAAAATTACACAATAATCATTTAAAATCCAAATAAAATGTCGATTAAGTTGTTTTTAGTTTTTTTTCAAGTTAATGTTACGTTGTTATTCTTTCTAGCAATTTTAATTTTTTATAACTCAACATGTGATTCTTGACTCGGTTTATGTTCGATAGTGGTGGGATGGATGAATTTTTTCAAAATATATTAGGATGATGGTAGTGTTGTCCAAAAAAAAACAGAGCTAATCCAATAAAAATGAATTAAAAAAATTAACTAAAAGAAATTAATAATCCAATAAAGTAATATTTATTAATATATAAATATTATATATTTATAAATAATATTTTTTAATATATAATAATCCAATAAAAAAAGTAATCCATTAAAAAGAAATAAAAAAAAGAATTATTTAAAAGAAGTTAATAATCCAATAAAATAATATTAATTAATACATAAATATAATATATTAAAAATAATATTTATTAATATATAATAATTCAATAAAAAAAGAAATTAAAAAAAATATTTAAAATAAATTAATAATGCAAGAATGAAAGATGCATAGTTCGGGACACAATTGTCTTTCCAGCCTATTCAACCAGAAATATATGGTTTTGGAGCTTTCTAGGAAAGACATATTTTATCGGGAAAGACCCATATTTTTGTGCATATCAAACAGTCTTTCCGGTTCATTCAGCCAGAAAGATCTGTTTAGACCTGAAAAGATGTCTATCAAACGGGACCTAAGCCTAACATAATATACAGGTGTGGTCTAAGAGTTTGAGTTTGAGGGGAATGTGGGATGTTAGCATATATTGTATGTTAGCCTTTTTATATTGGACTTTTATTTAGTTTTCTAGATATGTTAAGTTGTTAACCATGACGTCTTTTTTATTTATAGTAATGTTTCCCCATTCATTGTATTTACTCTTTTCTTTAATGACAAACTCTAGCTGTCTTTGCTTGTTTGGCTCTGGATCTTCATGCTAATCTCTCTAAATTTTCTCTAGCTTCACAGTTCACACCAAGTGTTTCGCACCTTTTACAAACCCATGTTTGTACACTATTGAGTATTTGATCGGGTTTTTGTACTAGCTAGGCCCGCATACAAGTTGTAAACAAAATACATAATCAATACTTTATTTAAATACAAATAGACTTGGCTCTTAAATAAAGCATATTACAAAAACAGAGCTTTTTGAATCAACGTCTTCCTAGCAAGTATTATAACACTTACTATTACCATTACTTATAATTCCACTTACATTGTAATTTGTTAAAACAAACTCCCCAAACGTTTTGCCTTCTCCCTCAACACAAACTTCTGCACCTTTCCAGTCGAATTTCTTGGCAAATCATCAAAAACAACACTTCGAGGTGCCATATAATGTGGCATTCGATCTCTACAATACTCAATAATTTCATCACCATCAACATCAACACCCTCCTTCAACTTCACAAATGCACATGGAGTTTCACCCCAATGATCATCAGGCCGTGCAACAACCGCCACCTCCAAAACTCCCGGATGGCTGTAAATTACCGTTTCGACCTCGATGGTGCATATATTTTCACCACCCGATATTATAACATCTTTAGACCTATCCTTCACTTCTATATATCCATCTGAATGTTTGACTGCAAGATCACCACTTCTAAACCAACCTCCTTTAAAAGCCTCTTTTGTTGCTTTTAAATCTTTAAAGTATCCACTCATGACTATATTCCCTCTAAACATAACCTCCCCTAACGATTTCCCATCACATTTTACACTCTCCATTGTTACAGGATCTTTTACATCGACTTCCTCCATCACAAAAGCTTTCACTCCTTGTCGTGCTTTAAGCTTCAGTTGTTCTTCAAGATTCAACTTTTCCCACTCGGGTTTCCATAAACATGAAGTTCCTGGACCATACGTTTCAGTGAGACCGTAAATATGAGATACACGAAACCCTAGCCCCTCTATCTTGGAAATGATTGTCGGTGGTGGAGATGCGCCGCCTGTCAGAATCTTGACTTTATGTGGAAGTGGTTTTCTGTCAGTCGCCGGAGAATTCACAAGCATGTTTAATACAGTTGGAGCTCCGTCCATGTGTGTGACGTTGTGAAGCACTATATTGTTGAATATATCTTTAGGGTCACAACGTCGGAGGCAAATGTTGGTGCCGCCGACCACCGCTACCCCCCACGAGAAGCACCACCCGTTGCAGTGAAACATAGGCAACGTCCAAAGGTAAACAGGCCTCTCTTGCATATCTCGCAAGAACACCGACGCAAGGGAGCCAAGATAAGCCCCTCGGTGGCTAAAAACTACTCCTTTCGGCTGTGAAGTTGTCCCGGAGGTGTAGTTTAAACTGATGGGATCAAATTCGTCATTTGGTCGGATTATAGAGAATTCAGTCACTCCACTCTCCACAAGGCTCTCGTATTCGTATTTTCCGGTATTAGTCAACGGTGATCGGGAGTCGGGTTCGGATATTACGACAACGAGAGGGGGTTTTGAGTGTGTGTTCTTGAGAAGATTGACAGCTTCTTCTGCTATATCCAATAATTGGGTGTCGACGAAGAGGATCTTGGCTTCCGAGTGTTGTAGCAGAGTTGAAATCATATTTGGATCTTGACGTGTGTTGAGATTGCAAATGATGGCTCCAGCCATGGGAACTGCGAAATGAAGCTCTATCATTGCCGGAACATTTGGCGCTAGTGTCGCTACCTGCATTAATCCGTAATTTTA